TGGGTGTCTCGTTCCTTCACTGCCCCCCACCCAAACCACCCCAGCAATGGACACGAGCTGTGTTGAACCTCACGTAGTTTCGAGGGTTTGGAACAAAAGTGCTTCAGAGAAAATGTCAGGGTGCAATGTGGGCCTCACTCCCTCCAGGCGCTGTTACCTGCTCTCATAGCTCTGTTTGCTTTGACCTGGAGCCCGGCAGAGCTGAGAAGTAATCAGTTCTCAGGACGAGGGGAAACCCGTGTTCTTTAAATTGCACTTTCATATATTTGTGAAAGGCTTGTGAAAGGTTAGGAGTGTAATTCCCAGCAACTCAAATGTCACCATTTCATTTTACCTCAAGGCTCGCTTCCAACACCTCGTCATGATGTCCTCATAACACCTGTCAACTCGCTTTCAAGCTCTCGACTTGAACACTAGAGATTAACCACTACTTAAACTCCAGCAGTTCTGAGACACTCGCCTCGCAAGCAAGAGAACCCCGGTTTGATTCCCTAACGGGGCAAAACCTTACCCCACACGCCTCTGTTTACCAGCAGTAAGTAGGAACCCGATTGCTAGTTAATTGGCGCATTTCTTTTCTGGAGGTAATAATCCCTTCCAAAACAAGTGAGAGTTCGATGCCTCACTTCTCTACAGGTCTTGCTGTCGAGCCAGAATTTCTATCAGCCGTACTTTAAATAGTTCCTGCGTAATTAAAGGTGATGGGAGAGCCCGGTATTGGAATTAGCTGTAAGGTTAATAACATCTCCTCACAGAGCGAGCAGCGTGGAGTGAAAGCAGATACAGTTCTCTGCTGGTGAAATAGAATTAACCTCGGAGATTTCATGGAAGAAACACAATAACTGAGAACTCTACTGGCTCCATCTATTGCACAGATCTCTCTCAGATGTCTCAGGTCCTGGCAATTGACAAATCATGACCTTAGAAATTATATTTATTAATCTATTATTGAGTTGTCGTCCCCATCCATCTGCCCACGCTCACTTCCCATCAGTGTTGCACTTTAGCTGGTTAGACTCCAGCAGTTACCCCAACGCACACTTTAGGCTCCCCCCCCAAAGGGCTTGGCTCTTGCCAACACTGCGCCTAATACTCTCTGGAATTAGGTAGGGAGGGAGAGAGAGAGAGAGAGAGAGCGCATTCTATTCCAACAATCTATCTCAGGGATTTCTATGTGTAGGTGGGAGGCGGGGAATTCTCAGTTGGGTTTGGAGACTCTTAAACATGGGGATGTGTTTCCGCTGCAGTTGGGTGAGAGGAATCGGGTGAAATGGTCAATGCTTTCCTCCTCTTCCTCCTCTTTTCCTCCCCTTACTCTCTCCTGAGGATTGTCTGATTCCTTTTCCTCTCCGCTCTCTGTCAGCTCACCCAAGTGGTCAGAACTCCTGCACAAGGCTTGATGATAGAGAACAACTTGCCTTGATATAGAGCTCCTCAGGCAGAGCAGCGTCCCAGAGAGCCTGACAACAGCAGAGCACGACACTGAGCGAGGGAGTTTCTCTCTCCCGGTCTCCCACTGGCCCACAACTCCCCTAAAGATAAAGCTGATCACTCGCTCCGCAGCCGTTTGTGGGACAAACTGGCTGCTGTGTTGGTCCACAAAACACACAGTCACTGCGCTTCACAGTGAAGCACTTTGAGACGTGTAAATGATGTGAAAGGTGCTGGATCACATGTAAGGATTATTATTTATTACTATGAAAATAACTCTGTACTTGCTTTTGATACAGTGCCTATAACAACTAACCCTCTCAAAATGCTGCACAGTCTTTTAAGGTAAAGTGTAGTGACTGTGTATTTTGTCCCACAAAATAGCCACAAGGTGAGTGATGGATTCCTGGGGGATTGTTGGTCAGGATTCCAAGCGAAACACCGTTCTCTTCTCCAATAATAATAATAGTATTTGCATTTGATGCGCCTTATTATATTTTTGAGACTTCTCAAAGTGTTTCACAGGACATATTGTAAAGTGTAGTGACTGTGTATTTTGTGGGCAAAACCCACAATAGTACCGTGGGACCTGAACAGACAGAGGGGGCCTCGGTTTAATGTCTTACTTGTAGAATGGCCCCTAAAACAAAATTGTCTCCCGCATTGGTCTGCAAGATTCAGTCATTGCTCGCCCACAAAACATACGTTTCGCCCACAAATATACAGTCAATTCACTTTACAGCCTATTCTGTAAGCGCTTTGGGACGTCTAGAGGACATGAAAAGGGCTATATCTAATGCAAGCATTATTATATTATTATTATGATGACTCGAAGACATGATTAAGGTGCTATATCAAATGCAAGAATTATTATCAAGAGCTTTGAGATTGTTTGAGAAAATCCAATAAAAATGGCGGTTTCTCTGCTTCGCGAAGGGGGAAGGAGTTGCCTCTCAGAGGCTCACAGCAGTCGGGAAGGATTGAGGATTAATGGATTCCATGTCCAATCCTCCTTCTTCGCACCGCTGTCGTAGAGGGAGCTGTCAGCGTCTGCGATGAGGACGCTAATAAACTGGAGCCTTTTGCTGTTAACGGGAGAGAGTCTATAATTAAAAGCAAACATGACAGTGGCCAAGGTAAAAAGACTGATGTCCCGATTGCAGTGATTTATTCAAGACTAACACAGGAGAGTAAACAGTGTCTCTATTGTGCAACATCCAACTGCGGTTCATTAATAGACCTTTAGTCCACTGGGGCTATTTTTTGCAGTATTTCTTCCACATTCCGAGCTGGGGGTCGGGATCAGGGAGGGGTGGAGGGCAGTGGGGGGAAGGATGGGAGACTGAAGGCATGGTTTTGAGATAGGTCTTGAAGGAGGCAAGCGAGGGTACGAGGCAGAGAAGAAAACAAAATTATATAGAAATATAGGAACAGGAGAAAGCCATTCAGCCCCTCCAGCCTGTTCTGCCATTATATAAGATGATGGTTGATCTGTACCTCAACTCCAATTACCTGCCTTTGCTCCGTATCCCCTGACACTCTGACCTAACAAACATCTCTCCACCTCAGTCTTGAAACTGTGAATGGATCCAGAATCCACAGCCTTTTGGGAGAGTTCCAGATTCCCACTGCCCTTTGGGTGAAAATATACCTCGAAATTTCATTCTTAAATGGCCAACTGAGTTTCTCCCAATGTCCTGACTGACAAACTTAATCAGACTTGTTAGTTAATTAATTCATAAATTAATTAAGATGAATTGATCATCCACCTCATGACTGGTGTGTAAGATCTTGCTTTGCACAAAACGGCTGCCACATTTGCCCACGGAATACACAGTCACTACACCTGAGCAGTTGGTGAACTGGTGAATCAAAAGAGGCAGCAAAGATCTTATAGTCAATTCACTTTACAGTGTATTCTGTGAAGTGCTTTGAAACGTCTTGAAGACGCAATAAGGCACAATATCAAACAGCAATGATTATTATTATTACATTGTGATATTGTAAAGTTTATTTTAATACTAAAGAGGATCAGAGCAGATTGTGTCGAAATATTCAAGATTCTTAAGGGTAATGTAATCCAAGTCTCCCCATACCCCCAGTCTCACCGCCCCCCACCCCCACCCTCTCTCTCTATCACCATAGCCTCTCAACGCTGGAGCAAATCAAAGAGCAAAATAAAAAGGATAAAAAAAAATGAGAAGACTTTTTCTGGTCTAATTACAAATAAGTTAGGAAATAATATCTTGGGATACAGTATATAGTTTGGGACACGACATGTCAATCCACGGCCAGGATGGTGGAAAGTGAACTACATGGACTTCGTCTTCCAGTGAATTGTTATGTTCTTATGGTCAGTGTCACAGAAAACACGATGAGCTCCTGTTCACCTGTCCCCAGAAAACCAACCGGAACAAGAATTAAAACAAGTGACGGGACTTTCAGCCACTGAACAAACTCCAGGAGGGAAATGCTGAGCTCTGCGAGATGCCACCCTGCATGAAGGCGTTGGGTAACACAAGCTGTTGTTGATGAGAGAACTAGCAAGTGGTTTGGGAGGAGATGCCAATGGAGTCACCCCCACACCCCACCCCAAACTCCCCCCTCCACTCTCCGCCCTCCCCACGAGACCAGATTCACTCCACTAACATAATGTTTCAGAGCGACCAGGATTTGGCAGATTGTCAGCCACTGTATGTAGTTTGGGAGCTGTGAGTGTGTGTGTGTGTGCGCGAGTATGTTTGTTTGGGAGTGTATGTATGAGGGTGAGTGAGTGTGAGTGTGTGAGGATGTGTGAAAGTGAGTGCGTGTGTGTGTTTTCTGTAAGTTTCTCTTTAACAAAGTGCAGAAAAATCCCCCCCAAAAAATGTGTCACGAACGAATTTCAGTGTTTGGCCAAATAATAATAATAATCATTTGGTAAAGATGGTCTATCACTTCAGAAGGATGTCTCACAGTGAAGAGCAGTGATTGTGTGTCTGCAGGCAAACACAAAGATTGTGCCCGGCAACGTCCCACAAACAACGTGAAACTAATCCTGGACCCTCTGTACACTCCCTGGGCGGAGAGAGAGCGAGAAAGAGAGAGAGACACAGACAGACAGAGTTAAAGAGAGAGAGGGGGACGCGTTGGGTGGAATCTCAGCCTCCATCAATCTGAAGGATGGCGCTCACAAATTTTTATTGCGGAAATGAATTATGGGCGGCAATGCGGAAATGTAATAAGCCATTTGCTTCGTCGTTTAAAACTTTCACTGTGTTTCTGCGGAGAATGTGCCCTGGGGCGGGTGTGCGAGCCACGTATGATTGGAACGGACAGACCGAAAGAGAGAGAGAGAGAGAAAGCAGGAGCTGTAGTGATTGACGGCTGAGTGGCTGATTCTGATCTGGGCGTTATTGTATGTGTGTTTGATGGACTCTGGAGTTCTAATGAAGCTTTACGTCAGTGCCTGGGCTTCAGCGGCTTATAAAAGGGGCCGGAGAAAGACTGAGAGAGACAGACCGAGGCTTCCGCTCTGCGCTGTTCTCTCGCTCTCCCTCGCTCCCGCTCTCTCACCCTCGCTCTCCCTCACTCGCCCTGCTCCTGTTCCTCTCGCTCTCTCTCGCTCGCCTTCGCTCCGCTCACACCATGCAGATCCTCGTCGCTCTTATCTCCACTCTCTTCCTCGTGTCCGGGGTGAGCACCACCACTGCCTCGCTGGACGACAGATTCAACCTCCAGAGCAGCCGGGTGAGTGGAGCGCGACCGGGAGAGAGAGAGAGAGAGAGGAGAAAGAGGATGATGAAGAGAGAGTGTGAAAGAGAGAATGAGAATGACAGTGAGAGAGAGAGAGAAACCGAAAGAGTGTGAAAAAAGAAAGACAGCAAGAGAGAGGGGGAGAAAGACGATGATGGAGCTGGTGATGGAGCAAGAGCGAGGGAAAGAGAATGGGAAAGAGGGAAGGAGGGAGGACGAGGGTGATCGAGAGAGAGAATGACAGAGAGAGAGAAAAAGGAAACAAAGGGGACGAGAGATAAAGAATGACAGAGAGAGCAGGATACAGCGGAGAAAGGAACTGAGGAAGAGGATGATGGAAAGAGAGAGAATGACAGGAAAAGAGAAAGGGAGAGAGAATGATAGAGAAAGCGAGAGAGGGAACAAAGGAGACAGAGACAAGAGAGAGACACAAAGACAAATGGGTAGATAAAGAGAATGGCAGTGAGAGAAAGACTGAGAGAGAAAGAGCGGAGTAGAGAGAGAATGATAGGGAACGAGCGAGAGGAGTCAAGGGGATAGAAAGAGAGAATGACAGAGAGAGAGACGCTGATAAAAGTATGTGATGGCATGTGAGAATGACAGCGAGCAAGGGAGAGAAAAATACTTGCTGGAGAGGAGAAAGTGTCTGAGAGAAAGAATGAGGGAGAGATAGAAAGTAATGTTAACAGAAAAGGAGAGAAAGACAGGAGGGAGAGAGGAGTGACAGAGAAGTAGGGAGAGTGAACAAGATGAACAGTGTGAAAGAGAAAAATGGAACAAGGAGTGAAACAGAGAGCGATAGGCAGAAAAAGAGGAGAGAGAAATTGAGACAGACAAGAGTGAGGGAAATGAAGAGAGAGGAAAAGAGATAGAATGAGAGAATGAGAGAGATAGACAGAGACAGCGCGAGAGAGAGAAAGTGTCAGAGAGAAAGAAGGAGAATGAGAAAGAGATGGAGTAACTGAGACAGAAAGAGAAGGATTGTGGAGCAGAAAGCAGCTGTGGCTCAGGAGTCAAATAGAAAAAGTGAGAGAGAAAGACACACGCACACAAACAGGAGACAGAGGGAGAGAGGAGAGAGGGGGGAGACAGGGAGATGGATAGAAGGGAGAGAGAGATTGAGAGAAACAAAGAGAGACACAGAGGGCAGGAGACAGAGAGAGATAGAGAAGAGAGAGAAAAGGAGACAGAGGGAGAGATAGAGAGAAGAGAGAGGAGAGAGTGAGACAGAAATGGAGAGAGACAGAGAGGAGAGAGCAAGGAGACAAAAGAGAGACAAAGACTGACAGAGGGAGAGATAGAGGTGTTGTGTTGGTACCTGTGGAGCTCACTGACAAAAGGTTGAGACAGAGCTAAACTGAGGTAAAGGCTCTCACATCACCAGCGCTGTCTACACTCTCACTCACTAGGACTTGCTCTCTCTGTGTGTCTCTCTATCTCTCTCTGCCTCTTTCTCTGTCTCCTGCTCTCTGTGTCTCTCCCCGTCTTTCTCAGCGCCCTGGGACGTCCTCCTCATGTGAAAAGCGCTTCACAAATATAATTTGGCGTATGTTGTCGTTTCTCTCTCCTTCCTTCCCTCTCTCTGTCTCCAGTCTGTGCGGGAGTGTGTGTGTGTGTATCTCTCAGTTTTTCTATTTGACGTCTGAATAACAGCTATTTTCTGCTCCACAATCTTTCTCTTTCTGTCTCAGTTCCTCTGTCGCTTTCTCTCATTCTGTTTACCTCTGTTTAGTTGATCGGCGGATCGCTTTTCTGCGGATAATAACCCCTTAAAAAAAAATTATCATTTGGTCACGACTGTTTGTGGGACGCTGCTGTGCGCATTTCGCCCACAAAACATACAGTCAATTCACTTTACAGTATATACTGTGAAGCGCTTTGAGACATATAGAAGACGTGATAAGGCGCTGTATCAAATGCAAGGATTATTATTATTATTATGCTTTCTCTCTCACACTCTTTCTCTCTCTGGCTGCTTCCTTCTACCTCTCTATTCTCTCAGTCTGTCTCTTCCTCGTGACGGTGCCATCTATAAAACACCAATACAATGTGTTTGTGACAGCACAATGAAAGAGTTAAGTCAGAGAGGGATAACATACAGTATTTCTTACTGGGAAATGGGCAATCATTGAATTTATAACCGTTATTGGAGACAATCTTCAGCTCAGTCTTGTGAGAAGGACGAGTTTCTCATTAAGAATTGGGTTTAAGAAATAGCACAAGTTGGATCCCGACCATGTGCAGATGTAGAAAATTGCTTTAAACTTTGCAAAAATAATGATCTCTGCATTCGATATAGTGCCTTAGCGCATCTTCGAGACGTCTCAAAGCGCTTCACAGAAATATACTGTAGAGTTCCGAGCCCCCTCAGTACTCAAGAAGTTAATGAACGTGCGTCCAGCTGTTTAAATCAAACGATCCCGGGAATGCTCCGCCCCACGAGGTCCCACTGAGGCAGAGCAATAAAATTCACTGTAAATTGTCCAACTACCGTACGGAGAGAGCAGCTTCCATTTACACAGCCTCTGCCACAACAGACAGTGGGGGAGTGAGCACCAGCACAGATGCGATGGGGGGAGAGAGAGAGAGAGAGAGCAGGGAATGGGGTTAGAGTAGAGAGCTCTAGTGGGGGAGTGAGCCCCAGCACAGACACAATGGGGGGAGAGTGAGCAGGAAATGGGGTTAGAGTAGGGCTCAGTCACGATGGCTTCTCTCCCCAGTCTCATTGATTCTGTACCTGTTGTTGACACTATTTTACAGGAGATGAATCAGGAAAGGAAAGAGATGATCCTCAAGCTGTTGTCAGGTCTCCTGGACAATGCCGCGGTGAGTGGGCAGACGGGGAGCGAGGCCGGTTACCCTGAGCCCGCGGATGGGGGGCCGGTGATGTTGGAGGAACGATCTCGCTACAGCCAACTGCCCCAGCGAAGCCGCAAAGTCCCCTGTAAGAACTTCTTCTGGAAAACATTCACCTCCTGTTGACGATAAACAGTACAGACCTCCTACACCCCCCTCTCCCCGTCCCTCTTTCCCCTCCCTCTTCCCCCCACCCCACCCCACAACCTAAAGCACGGGATGAAACCCACCAGTAACTAAACTGTTTAGCACTGTACATTTGCTGCTGCTGTTTTTATTTTTATTCATCTGTGAAGTGAAATTCCTTTCTTGGGCACGGAAATAATTAAAGAAAGCATAACCATACGTTCACTGCCTGGTGTTTCTTTCTTCTGGTGACAGAGCGAGGGAGGGAGGGATGGAGGGAGAGAGAGAGGGGGAAGGAGAGAGGGAGGTGGTACCTGAGCTCATAGCATCTCCCACTTACACAGGGAGCGGATATCTCAATCGCACCTACACACAATCGCACACACTCACACTCGCTCACCCACACACACAGCACCTCTAAAGTCTCAACATTTCAAAGCTATAACGGGATGCACTGTAAAGTGACTGTGTATTTTGGAGGTGAAGCTGGCCTATGCCAATTTGCTCAAAGCGACGTTCCACAAACAGCCGGGAGGGGAATAATCTAATTAAACACTTGTTGGCCGTGACGCTGGGAGAATTTCTCTTCTGTTTTGGAAACAGCTCCGCGGGATCTTTAACGCCCACCTGATCAGGTGCAGACAGGTACGCGGTTTAATGTCTTATCTGAAGGACGGCGGCTTTGACTGGTGAGTCAGCCTGGACCTGACTGAGCTTCTCACTGAGCCGAGCTGCCTGCCTCACACTCAACACACAGGATGAACAGTACAATTAACATTTACACAGCGCCTGTCAGGTCCAGAGGGAGGGTGTCTCAAAGCCCTCAACGCTGCTGCCATTGGCTTCACAATCACAGTGGGCTTCACAGGATTAACGTTTTTTGAAGATTCAATGATAGATTTCAAATGGGAATTGGATAGGAACTTAAGAAGGAAAAATGTGCCGCACTATGGGGAGAGTGCGGGGAGCGGGACTATTTGGAAGCTCTTTTCAAAGAACCGGCACAGGCACGATGGGCTGAACAGTCTCCTTTTGTGCTGTAAAATTCTATGATTCCATGAAGTGCTTCATGAGATGATGGGGTTCACTGGGCGAGGAGAAGAGGGCATTTGAGAGTCCATTGAAAGCATGTTAGAGAGAATAAGAGAAAGAAAGAAAGAAAGAAAGAAAGAAAGAAAGAAAGAAAGAAAGAAAGAAAGAAAGAAAGAAAGAAAGAAAGAAAGAAAGAAAGAAAGAAAGAAAGAAAGAAAGAAAGAAAGAAAGAAAGAAAGAAAGAAAGAAAGAAAGAAAGAAAGAAAGAAAGAAAGAAAGAGAGAGGAAGGAGAGAGAGTGTGAAGAGTGAGAAAGAGTGAAAGCAAGAGAGAGAACAAGAGGGACTGAGAATGTAAGAGCAAGTGCAAGAGAGACAGCGCGAGAGAGATAGAAAGAGAGCCTGAAATGGTGATAATAATATAATAATAATCTTTGCGTTTGATATAAGGCTTTTCACGTCTTCGAGATGTCTCATTGCCCTTAACAGAATAGACTGTAAATTTATGGGCGAAACACGGCAGCCAAATGCGCACAGCCTAAGATTTCGCCCCGCCATATATCACAAAGTGTAGTGACTGTATGTGTTGTGGGCGAAACGCGGCAGCAAGTTGCACGTAGCAGTGTCCCACAAACAACCTTGGACTGAGTGATCAACTTTGTTTGGGGGATTGTTGGAGTCCGGTAACTCAGTGGTTAGAGCCCTCGCCTCGCAAGTGAGAGGACCTGGGTTTGATTCCCGGGCAGGGTGGAACGCTGGGCAAGTTTCCTTACTCCACACGCCTCTGTTTTCCCAGCAGTGAGCAGGAACCCGGTTGTTAGTCGATTGGCAGATTGATTTTCCCGGAATAGTAATTGCTTCAAAAAGGTTTTTTAATAATAAATTTGTCACTCAATCCACGACTGTGGGACGCTGTTGTACGCAATTGGCTGCCACGTTTTGCTCACAAAATATTCTGTGAAGTGCTTTGAGACGCCTTGAAGACATGAAAAGGCACTGTAACAAGTGCAAAGATTGTTATTATTATCCTAAATAGTAAAGGGACTATACTATTTGCCCCGTGAGTCTGATCTGTTGAAATGCTTTGACGATGAGCTTTGAAGCAGAAATCTATCTGATCAATATCATACGTATCTCTCGTTTGTTGCACAATTAGTGATTTTCATAATAATAATCCTTGCATGTGATTCATAGATTTTTTTCATAGAATGTTACAGCACAGAAGGAGGCCATTCGGCCCATCGAGTCTGTGCGGCTCTTTGACAGAGCGTCACTTTCACTAACCCCAATCACCAGCTTTCTCCCCATAACTCTGCAAACCCATCCTCCCCCGATACCTGTCCAGTTCTCTCTTAAAAGCTGTTATCGAATCGGACTTCACTGCCCTTTCGGGCGGATCATTCCAAATTCCAACAACTCGCTGAGTGAAAACATTTCTTCTAACCTCTCCTCTGCTTCTTTTGGTAGATATCTTAAGACTGTAACCACAGGTCACAGACACACCTACCAGCGGAAACAGCTTTTCCTTATGTAGCCTGTCGAAACCTTTCATGAGGTTGAAGACCTCTATCGGGTCCCCACATAACCTTCTCTGCTCTAATGGGAAAAGTCCTAACTTCTCCACTGTCCTCATAGCTAAGGTTCCCCATTCCTGGTATCATTCTCGTGAATCTCCTCTGCACCCTTTCCAGTGCCTTAATATCCTTCCTGAGGTAAGGTGCCCAGAACTGGACACAGTACTCCAGCTGAGGCCTAACCAGTGTTTTGTATAGATTAACCATAACCCCTACTCTTATACTCTATGCCCTACTAATGAAGCTCAGTACACCAAATGCCTTTTTTACTGCCCTATCTACCTGCCCCACTACCTTTAATGATTCGCTTACTTGAACGCCCAGATCTCTCTGTACGTTCACCCCCTTAAGATTGAGCTCCAAGTCTATATTGCCTCCTATCATTTTTCCCACCTAAGTGTATCACCTCACACTTATCCACATTGAAATCCATCTGCCACATGTCAGCCCATTCCACCATTCTGTGTATGTCTGTTTGCAGTTGGTTACAGTCCTCCTCACTATTTACTACCCTAACCCTAACTTTGTATCATCTGCAAACTTGGAAATAGTGCTCTCTATGCCCAAGTCCAGATCATTAATATATATATTAGAAAGAGCAGTGGTCCCAATACCGATCCCTGGGGGACACCGCTGCACACCTCCTTCCATTTCGAGAAACACCCATTAACCACCACCCTCTGCTTTCTGTCACTCAGGCAGTTCTTAATCCAAACTGCCACTGTCCCCTTAATACTGTGGGCCTCTAATTTTTTTATTAATCTCTTATGCGGTACTGTGTCAAAAGCCTTTTTGAAATCCATGTAAATAACGTCCACCGCATTTCCCTCATCAACCCTCGCAGTCACCTCTTCAAAAAATTCTATTAGATTTGTTAGGCAAGATTTGCCTTTAACAAATCCATGTTGGCTGTCTCTAATTACCTCGTGTTCCTCTAAGTAGAGATTTATTCTGTCCCGGATTACGGTCTCCAGTAGTTTTCCTATTACCAAAGTTAGGCTGACTGGCCTGTAATTTCCGGGTTTGTCTTTCTGCCCCTTTTTGTAGAGGGGGTAACATTAGCCACTCTCCAGTCTCTTGGCACCACTCCTGAGATTGAAATATAATGGCCAAAGCCTCCGCTATTTGAACCCGTATCTCCCACAGCAACCTTGGGTGACAGCCATCTGGTCCTGGTGACTTATCAATTTTGAGCCCAGTCAATCTTTTCAGAACTTCCTCTCTGTCTATAGTAATCTGATCTATGTCCTCTACCCTCTCATCCAATACTGCGGCATTTGGGGCATCCATTTCCGGTGTGAAGACAGATGCAAAGTACTCGTTCAGTACATCAGCCACAGCCTCTGCCTCCACAACAAGATGGCCGTCATTGCCTTTGATTGGCCCCACCCTACCTTCAACTAACCTTTTTTTCCTTTATGTGCTTAAAAATATTTTAGGATTCCCCTTTATGTTACCCGCTAACCTCTTCTCATGCGATCTTTTAGCCTGTCTTATTGCTCTTTTAAGGTCACGCCTGCATTCTCTATAATGCGCTTTGCTCCCATTCCTCCCATTCCTGTCCTGGCTTGAGCCATGTCTCGGTTGCTGCCACCACATCGTAACCCCCTACGGCCAGTTGAACCTGCAGCTCATCAACCTTATTCCCTAAGCTCCATGCATTTAGGTACATGCATTTGAGGAAATTGTCCGCTTGTACCTGCTCTACACTTCCCACTTGTCTTTTTCCTCTAATCTCTAATTCATTGTTTATCCTGGGATACCCATCCCCCTCGACACTGGTTTCAATCCGCCCCTAAAGCATTCGATAATCTCTTGGCAAGGAAGCTCACCCCTGCCTTGCTTAAGTGACGCCCATCCTCAAGGTAAAGATCCCACCTCCCACAGTAGTGGTCCCAATTGTCCAGAAAACGGAAACCTTCTTTTCCGGACCATTTCTCCAGCCAATTGTTCATGCGCCTGATCCTTTCATTATGATGCCTTGTTGCCCGAGGTACTGGGGCACCTTGGATGTTCTGGACTTGAGTTTGCTCCCCAGCTTTTGATACTCGCCCTGGAGCATCTCAGCCCTCTTCTTATCAATATTGTAAGTCCCCACATGGACCACGACTTCTGGACATTCTCCTTCGCCTCGAAGAATCTTGTCCATGCACTCTGTGAAGTCCACTACCCTCGCACCAGGAAGGCAGCAAACCATCCTAACCTCACGATTCTGATTACAGAAGATCCTGTCAGTGCCTCTTCCAGTTGAATCCCCTATCACAACTGTATTGTCCTTGTGAACCGTGCCCTTGTCCTGTTGGACAGAATGTCCACTGCTGTCCTCACGAGAGGCTTCCACACTCTTGATAGCTAATGTTGAGTACCAATTAGAGACTGGTACTCTGTTCGGGGTGCTCTGCCTTGAACAAGCCCTCTTCTTGCCCCATCGCACCCAATCACTTTTAGCATGAATGAAGGGTGGCTGTTGTTGGGATCCTTTGGGAGCAGTCCTTTTCTTGAATTCTGACCTCCCGATAGCTCAAGTACCCCTCTCTCAGGCTCCTATACAGCGATGGGCTGCTATAGCTGAGTCCTAGGGGAGTGAGGGTCTCAGTGGTTAGAGCTCTCACCTCACAAGCGAGAGACCTGGGTTCGATTCCCAGGCAGGGTGAAAC